AGGGGGATAGCAAAACGATAGCAGAAAGGTAAGAAGTATAATTTTTTTTTTTGGAGGAAAAGGATTGTTTAACTAGGGAAGGGAAGGTAATAAAACTTGGATTATCTTAACTAGAAGAGGAAGAGAAAAAGGCGATTAGAACAAAGAGCAAGAAGATACAATGAACAATAACAAACGGCTTGAGGCAAAGCGATTGGCGGTCGAAAAAAGACAGGGAAATGGCAGGCGCTCCGCCTCTTATAGCACAGTTCCCACCAAAACCCATTAAAGCTTTTGTATTCTACCCGGCTACAGGAACTGCGCAGGCACAGCACCCATTATGTGTGATGCAGAGACCACGAAGAAGAATGACTAGTAACCTAGTGACACTAGAGAGAAAAAGATGGACCTAGAGCATTTCTGTTGTTGTTAGTTGCAAAGTCGTGTCCAACCCATCACAAGCCCATGGACAACATACCTCCAGGCCTTCCTGTCCTCCACCATCCCCCGGAGTCCACTTAATCTCACGCCGACTGCTTCAGTGACTCCATCTAGCCACCTCATTCTCTGCCATCCTCTTCTTTTGCTGTCAATTGTTCCCAGCATTAGGGTCTTCTCCAGTGAGTCCTTCCTTCTCATTAGGTCACCAAAGTATTTGAGTTCCATCTTCAGGATCTGGCCTTCTAAAGAGCAGTCAGGGTTGATCTCCTTTAGGACTGACCAGTTTGATTGTCTTGCAGTACAAGGGACTTGTAGGAATCTTCTCTAGCACCACAATTCAAAAGCTTCAATTCTTCGGCGCTCAGCCTTCCTTATGGTCCAACTTTCACAACCATACATTGCAACTGGGAAAACCATAGCCTTGACTATACGCACTTTTGTTGGCAGGGTGATGTCTCTGCTTTTTAGTATGCTGTTGAGATTTGCCATAGGTTTCCTCCCAAGGAGAAAGTGTCTTTTAATTTCTTGGCTGCAGTCACCGTCTGCGGTGATCTTGGAGCCCAGGAAGATAAAATTTGTCACTACCTCCATTTCTTCCCCATCTATTTGCCAGAAAGTGAGAGGACCGGATGCCATGATCTTAGTTTTCTTAATGTTGAGTTTCAAACCAACTTTTGTGCACTCCTCCTTCACCCGCCTCAAGAGGCTCTTTAGTTCCTCTTCACTTTCTGCCAGTAGAGTGGTATCATCTGCATATCTGAGTTGTTGATATTTCTTCCAGCAATCTTAATTCCAACTGGTGATTCATCCAGCCCCGCCTTTCTCATGATGTGCTCTGCATATAAGTTAAATAGGCAGGGTGATAGTATAAAGCCTTGCCGAACTCCTTTCTCAATTTGGAACCAATCAGTCATTTCATGCCCAGTTCTCACTGATGCTTCTTGACCTGCATATAGGTTTCTCAAGAGACAAATAAGATGGTCTGGTACACCTATCTCTTTAAGAACTTGCCACAATTTGTTGTGATTCACACAGTCAAAGGCTTTAGCATAGTCAATGAAGCAGAAGTAGATGTTTTTCTGGAACTCCCTAGCTTTCTCCATGATCTAGCGTATGTTGGAAATTTGATCTCTAGTTCCTCTGTCTCTTCGAAATCCTGCCTTTACTTCTGGTAGTTTTCGGTCTGGAGCCTAGCTTGTAGGACTTTGAGCATAACTTTGCTAGCATGTGAAAGGGGTGCAATAGTGCAGTAGTTTGCATTGCCCTTCTTTGGAATTGGAATGTAAACTGACCTTTTTCAATCCTGTGGCCACTGTTGAGTTTTCCAAATTTGCTGGCATATTGAGTTTAGCACTTTTACTGCATCGTCTTTTAGGATTTTGAATAGCGCAGCTGGAATACTGTCTCCTCCACTAGCTTTGTTGTTGCTCAGACTTCCTAAGGCCCATTTAACTTCACATTCCAGGATGTCTGGCTCAAGGTCTCTGACCACCCCATCGCGGTTATCAGGGACGTTAAGCTCTTTCTTGTATAGTTCCTCTGTGTAATCTTGCCACCTCTTCTTAATCTCTTCTGCCTCAGGTCCCTGCCATTTTGGTCGTTTATCATGCCCATCTTTGCATGAAACGTTCCCTTCATATCTCCAATTTTCTTGAAGAGATCTCGGGTCCTCCCTATTCTATTGTATTCTTCTATTTCTTTGCACTGTTCATTTAAGAAGGCATTCTTATCTCTTCTAACTATTCTCTGGAACTCTGCATTCAATTTGGTTCATCTTTCTCCCTTGCCTGTCGCTTCCCTTCTTTTCTCAGCTATTTGAAAAGCTTCCTCAGGCAGCCATTTTGCTTTCTTGCATTTCTTTTTCTTTGGGATGGTTTTAGTTGCTACCTCTTGTACAATGTTGCAAAACTCCATCCATAGTTCTTCAGGCACTCTGTCTATCCGATCTAATTCCTTAAATCTATTTGTCACCTCTACTGTATATTCATCAGGAATATGATTTAGGTCATGCCTGAGTGACCTATTGCTTTTCCCTACTTTCTTCAATTTAAGCCTGAATTTTGCAACCAGAAGCTCATGATCTGAGCCACAGTCAGCTCCTGGTCTTGTTTTTACTGAATGTAGAGAGCTTCTCCATCTTTGGCTGCAGAGCACATAGTCAGTCTGATTTCTGTGTTGACCGTCTGGTGATGTCCATGTGTAGAGTCGTCTCTTGGGTTGTTGGAAAAGAGGGTTTGCTATGACTAGTGTGTTCTCTTGACAAAATTCTGCCAGCCTTTCCCACTTCATTTTGTACATTTTGTACTCCAAACTTGCCTGTTATTCCAATTATCTTTTTGCTTCCTACTTTAGCATTCCAATCCCCCATGATGATAAGGATATCATTTTTTGGAGTTAATTCCAGAAGGTGTTGTAGGCCTTCATAGAACTGGTCAACTTCAGCCTCTTCAGCACTAGTGGTTGGGGCATAGACTTGGACTACTGTGATGTTGAATGGTTTGCCTTGGATTCGAACTGAGATCATTCTGCCATTTTGGAGATTGTATCCCACTACTGCTTTTCCTACTCCTTTATTGACTATGAAGGCTACTCCATTTCTTCTGAGGGATTCTTGCCCGCAGTAGTATACCTGATGGTCATCTGAATTAAATTCACCCATACCTGTCCATTTTAGTTCACTGATTTCCAAGATGTCGATGTTCAGTGTTGTCATCTCATGTTTGACCACGTCCAGCTTACCTTGATTCATAGATCTTACATTCCAAGTTCCTATGCAGTATAGTTCTTTACAGCATCGGACTTTCCTTTCACCACCAGATACATCCACAACTGAGTGTCCTTTCGGCTTTGACCCAGTCGCTTCATTCTTTCTGGCGCTACTAGCACTAGCCCTGTTTTTCCCCAGTAACACATTGGACACCTTCCAACCTGAAGGACTCATCGTCCGACATCGTATCTTTTTGCCTTTTGGTACTGTCCATGGGGTTTTCATGGCAAAGATACTGGAGTGGGTTGCCATTTCCTTCTCCAGTAGATCACGTTTTGTCAGAGCTTTCTGCTATGACCTGTCCGTCTTGGGTGGCCCTGCACAGCATAGTTCATAGCTTCATTGAGCTACACAAGCCCCTTCACCACAACAAGGCAGTGATACACGAAGGGGAGCGTTTTTATATTAGGCTGTTAATTGCTACTTTTGGTTTCACTGCAGCACTTTGAGCTGAGCTCTGTATTTGCTTCCTTCTTTTCTGCTACGTAACCTGTAGGTAGAGTTGCACTGCAGTGAAACAGCTCAGCTATACAAGGTAAAAACGTGACAATTTCCCCATTCTAATATAATGCCCCATTTAAAAAAAACCTAACTAACCAAAACATAAAAGTGCCCTGAAAAACAGAAGCCAAATTGGAACATAATGACATCACCTAAATAGCCCATAAACAACCCTGAGTAAGGAATCAGAAGGGCACAAAATGCTAGAGAGAAGAAAAGCTCAGTCATTTGGGAAGGTATATGTATGTTGCTCAAATTAACTTAAGGTGAACTTGTACAGATGTTATTTATGATGCTCTAATCAGAAACAAGGATAGGTTTTCCTGATTGGTTGCAAGCTTTTACTGAAGGCTGGCCAGTATAACTATTGAACATCTGTTTGTATGGCTTCTCTCAGTTCTGGCTACACCTTGTCATTTATTTGTTTATTACACTTCTGTGGTAAATAGCCAAAGCTCTCTGAGTGGTTCATAGCTTTATAATCACAAAGCACAAGCATTGTATACAATACAATACAACATACAGTTTAAAACTACAGTATAAAATAAAATGACAACCAATTACAGCCTAGTAGCAGTGCAAAGATTTATAATGCAGTATTTTAAGATTTAAAATAAAACCTGACAAACTGAAATGTTTGGGAAAATAAAAAGGTCTTCATTTAGCACTCTAACAAACACAATTAAGCACCCGGTGAGCCACTTTAGGAAGCTCTTTCCACAACCAGGGTGCCCCAGCAGAAAATCCCCCCTTCTTAATAGCCTCATGGGGTCTCCCAGGGGAACTCTGCTGAGAACTGTTGTAGGGTCCAGGCATGTATATATGGAAAAGATTATCCTTCCTGTAAACTGGCCCTAAACCATTTAGGGCGTTGAATGTTAATACCAATTGTTTGAACTGGGTCCTGAGATGGACTGGCAGCAAATGCAAATAGAAAAATACTGGCATAATGGCCTGTCTCTGATAACAATCTCACAGTCTTATTTCACCATTTAAATTTCTGGGCTGTTTTCAAAGGCAGCACCAGGTAGAGGGCATTGCAGTAATCTAGGCAAAAGGTTTCCAAAACATGGATAACAGTAGCTAGACTATAGAAAAGGACATATAAAAGATGCTCTATGGTACTGGGTCTTACCTCTGTCTCTAGTGACAGAAGTCAATCCAAGAGCAATCTGGAACCACAAACCCACTACCTTAGGGGGAGTAGAAACCCTTCCAGAACAGGCTGAATATCACTTAGTTGGAAAGACAAACTATGCACCAACAATACCTCCATCTGTCTGGACTGAGCCTCAGGTATAGACCGCCTTACCCCTTTTCTAGCTTTGTGCCCTGTTGTGTGGTTATCTGAGGACACTCTGTCTCAGGCCAGAAGAGTTTGGCAATAGCCAAAGCGGCTGGTGCTGACATCACAGAGGCAGTTAGTAAATGAGAAGCTGACACCTGGAATGGCAAAGGGTAAAAAGATAACATTGCTGTTTATTCTGGGCATAAAAAATTGAAGACCATTCCTTTCAAGCCCTAGTTTCAAGCCCTTTCAAGCCCTAGAAGTTGCAAACTTCTTCACCCTGGGGACCTCCAGGGGTATTTGACTACAATGTCCATTATCCCTTGCCAATATGATCACTAGGGAGGACACCAAATTAGGATTGTTGCCCTAGTGAAATAAATATGCTGAAACATATGAACAAATATTTTATATAGTATTACTTTAATCTGTTGCACATCCTTCACCTTCTGATCCCAGGAAAGGCACATACATATCAAATGATATAAAACCACTTAAACCGAAAATTAAAAATACAGACCATAGGATACCTTAGCTACAGAAGGAAAACACCTAATTATCTCCTTCCATAGTCTATGTAAAAAGGTAGGCACCAGATGCACATGAGAGAGTAAGGCATTAACAGGATACTTTTCCCAAAAGCAAAAACATTTAAGAGCATCAGCTTATAGGGGTATAGAAATGTAATGCATACATGAATGAATTAATGATGGAAGGTCCAGACTAGGCATTGTGAAAAGGCAGGTTCTGAATGCCACAAGAAATCTAGCATGATTCTGGGAAATACTACATACTAATATTGATCACTTTGAGTGCCAGTACTTATGTACCCCCCAAATTTACCCAATGCAGATTTGAGGACCCCAAGATTTGCAAATGTGCAAACTATCCTGAGGGGGAAAGAAAACTCTAAGGTTGAGAAACATTCCAAAAGAGTTCAATGAGAACTGAGCATGTTCAATGGACATGCAATGCTGACTCTCTGATGTCTGAAAAAAGAAAGGTGGGGTGGGAGCAGGCAGAATGGACTAGAGTGGGGCTTGGACCCTAAGCAGAATCACTCCAGACTGCCATATTTTGTGGAAGGTCCCACTTGTTGCTCCTAAACCAGAAGAGGGAAGGAAATGAAGGGCATTAAGTAAAGAAGATTTATCTTTAAAGTAATTCCACATCAGCCATTTTTAAAGGTTAGATCTGTTATCAGAACTGAATCAGGGTTTCTACTATTTCTTGCCAGGCTATCACAAAGAGATTTGAAAGTGGAACCAAATAAATGGAGCTTTGCCCAAAATGAGCCATGTCAAAACAACTATACCATTCATTGAGAGAACACCTCCAAATTCTGTATTGCTGGCAGTTATCCCAGACAACATAACTCTCTTCATTGGATTATTTCTTCTGCCTCTTGGATACCCAACTAATAGAAGCATAAACCTTGGAAATATATGTTCATCACTCAAAGTTGGGAATACACTCTGGATTCTGGTGCTTGATCTTTTTTAGGTGGACCATGCTTTAAGGATGGCAGTTTTCATCAAAAAAGGGAGGAAAACTTGTTAATACATTATGGGTCTTCTAGAAAAATTTAGTTAGAGGGATACTACAGTTCCATTTTATGTTTCTTCCTATTAACAAGGGGGCTAGGTTGGATAAGGGTTTTCGAGAACTGAGCAAAGTTGTTAAGGAAAGGACATTTTATAGCATCATCATGAGTCAGAAACCACTTAACAGCATGTAATAATAATACTAGGATAAGGATTTGAAATGAGCTAAGAAAAAAGCAAGAGAAATTTTAAAAATAGCTTGGAAAATAAACAATAGTTAAAAGGTAGAATTTTCCCTTTCTTACTTACACCAAAAGAAATATATGCTCCTAAGACACTTCCAGCAATAGTAGCAAACCCTGCTGTCATGATAGCATGGAGTTCTGACTTGGTAACGTAAGGCAAATATGGCTTCACCAAGAGAGGCGATTCAGACTGAAGGAAAAAAAGGCAGAAAAGCAAGCAAATACATTTGACTTCAACTTCTCTAATTATATCATTGTATTTTGCTAGTAGCATGGAATCACACTTCAGCTGGACTTAGTTTTGTTTGGCCAAACTAAAAATGCCTGTTGATGTCAAGATCTTTTCTTAAATAAATATCCTGTTGCAGTTGCTTCCTTAATAAGAACGTGCCTACATTGCTTTAGCTGTAGTGTTTTTGCAGAATTGACTTTTTGAGCTTTTGTGATAGAAAAGCCTTTTTTGATGTACTGTTGTACTGATATTTCAAGTCCCACATAAAATGCCTTGATGAAATTAACATCACATATACAGGACCATAAGCCCTAGGAAATGCATCTTTCCAGTAATGACTTCCAAGGCCTTGGAGATAGAAACTCCCAGTTGCATTGCATATTAATTGCAAAGCAACCATCCATTACCAGCATTTTCCTTTTCCTTCTCTTTCCTTATAACCCATCTATCACTTGGAGATGATCAACTCTGTAGCTGAGAGTCTTTCATCCTAGAAGGACCTTTTAGGAAATATTTTTAGCAAATTTAATGGATTCTAGTTTCAAAGAAATACTAGACCTGGGCCCTTAATTGTGGAATTGTGCTGAACATTCCACATGGCAGCCTTCCCTAGGTGGTGCCCTCCAGACATGTTGAATTGTAACTCACATCATTCTCAGGCAGCATGACCAATGACCATATGGGGCTGGTAACTTTGGGAGTTCAAAACCAACACATCTAGAGAGTACTAGGCTGAGGTAAGGCAACTTAAGTTAGAATGTTAAATTGCAAAAGCTACATCCCACATTGGCTTCTTTTCCCAAGCTTCTAAAGTTTGTTTTTCTACAATTTCTCCACCTTTCTTCAGTGCTTTACAAAACTGTTTCCACTTATACCTTCTCCAGGTATACCTTTTACCTGCTGCAAAATATAGGGTGTTTCTCATGCCTTTAAAAGGTGTGAGAAACCATTTCATACTCTCAAAAGATGCAATTAATTATTTGAGATTGACAGTCTTTTGTATCCTAAGCTGTGGAAGGGTGGTATAGGCCATATGAGCATTTTTCTGGTGCCATTCTATGCAATTAAGAAAACTAAACTTTTGCCCAACTGCTGGAAATACTTTACTACCAGCTAGCTTCTGAGAAGGAGCATATAAATGAGTGTTCCTTTGTCTCTCAGGGGAAAGGAATGGCTTTGTGTAATGATATATCTCTTACCACCTGACCTATTTTTAATTTAAGAAGTTAAATAGCTATAAGGCTATTAGTGTATTCTTTTATTTCACAGTCTTACCTGTCCCACAAATATGTTGCCAGCTGCAACCAAAGATTCAACAGGGCTTGTTTTCAGAGTAATTTGCATTACCCATCCAACCTAAGAAAGTTATAATGTGGAAAATTAATTTTCTGCATGCTCAAGCTGCTTCACAAGCTGCCTAAAAGTACAATTTCTATGTCTTCCCCAAGTTAACAATTTTCATTTTTCAAGAGAGTCTTTTTGGTATGCCCTATGTATGGGCTTCCTTTGTCAACCTGCCAGCAGGAAATGCAGGAAACCTGTCAATGCCTCGGAGGTGAGTGTAAACACCGGGAGTGGCAGAAGAAGAAACTGGCAGGCCCAAGGTTCCCTATTCCAGTATTGCCATTATTATTTGATATATAAGAGAAGCTGCTGTGATGTCATGGAATGTTAATAAGCAGCTAATCAGTGTAGGTAATATTGTTCTGACTAGTATTAATGGTAGGCTACTGGAAAGACTAACTTGTTCCCCATATGAGCCTGCCCATTCTTTAAAATTTTTGTGAGAAGCCCTTCTTTTGGGACCCATAACTTCAGAAGTGGCTTTGGTGGTGATGTGAACTAAGGACTTCTTAGTGGCTGCTTCCTGGCTGTGGAACCCCCTGCTGGGGGAAGCTAATCTTGCCCTCTCTGCTGTCCTCCTGCTGGAGGGCAAAGACAGCTTTATTCAAGCAGACTTTTGGCAAGTAAGCAGGTGTGCTTACTTGGATGCTGGTTTTGCTCTTATTGTTCTGCCTTTAATTGTTTTTGATGTATTTGTTTATTATTATTTTAATCAGGAAGATGATTGTACCCTGCCATTACTGTCATTTTTGGTAGAAAAACAGGGCACAAATCAAATAAAAAGGGAATGCATAAACAGCTGTTGCAAAATTGGAGGGGGAGAGGAGGGAGTTCCGAGACAAAGGTGTCATCAGGTGCCACCTATATGTAAGAACTATGAATGTACAGAAAATATGTGGCCAGCCTGCCCTTAACAAGGAAGTATACACAACACTTACTTTTGTTAGTTTAAAGACATTGGAGGCAGCTAGGTCTTTTTTCACTTTCTGAAAAGTAATCCTAGGGTGCCCTCTGTGGGTTGGGATTGTGAAGACCGTAACAAATTGCTCACAGTTGCAATCCAGATTGGGAAGGGACACACTATTAACTCAATACTGCACAAAGGAAACCCATCCATTTTCATATGACTGGTGACACTGCAGACAACTGGGGGGGGGGGGGGGGTCACTGCACCTGTAGGGGGTTATTTCTCAGAGAAATAAAAATAAGCAGCTAATGTCTAAATAGACCGGGTTGTATTGGTTTCAGAAAGGAAAGTAATTCTGCATGTAAAGGACATAAGGGAAGGAAAAAGAATTTTGGACATGCTCAGAGACATTCCAACTGAGTGGGCAGAATTTTAAAAAACAGAACTTGACAGTCATAATGAATTTGTGGCCAGCTAATTGTGAATGAGAATTACCAAAACTAAAATGAGTTACCTGTTTCTTAGCTTCTTTTTCAATGGAGTTTAGCTATGAAACACTGGTGTGATATTAGGTTTGACAAGCTGATGGGTAAATTTATAGTACTTTAAAAGATGCTTTAGTTTGGGAGTGGGAGCTGGAGAAGAGGGGTGGTGTGCCTTTTAAAATCAACAATAAGACCTAATAGATAATGTATAGAATATAGGAAATTTAATATGAGAAAAGTGCCTGGGGCTTTGTTACCTTTTTAATTAGCCACTGCATGAATCCAATGTAGTAAAGCATAGACATCACTGTGCTGAAGAAAACTACTATCGGCAGGACCTGGCATGGAGACAACCAAAACAATGTCCATTGTCAATAGTTTTCCTTGTTCTACACATCCATATAAAAAGATTACAGGAATCTGAGGGTGTATGTGTCCCTATATATGTTAAATAAATGCAAAGTCACGAAACTATAGCAAGAATCATCAGCAATATTGACAGCAGAGATTCATAAGCTACCTAAGTTTGCAGCCACTCAAAATCTGGTTGAAGAAAATTGTCACCAAAATGCCAGCAGGATAGACTCTGGACAAATATGCCTGTAGAGGGCATCCCATAGTATGGGTGCTAAAAAAACAACACCCTGTTTGGTCATAGCTGGTACAGCAACTGCAGTTAGTTGTGGGGTGCGGGTGTTAATGCTGCACTGAGAATTTCCAAAGGGCATTGAAAAATGGTTGTATTATATCCAACATGATGGGTTTAATTTTACTTCCCCCTCGCACACTGTTGGGAATTTATGGTCTAGATGTGTGCACATGAGATTGTAATGCAACTGCAGGAATTGCTAATTCTGGCTTTGATTATAGATTTTGGGCTCATATAGTCTTGTGGACAATAATAAAATCAAGGATTATGTGGATGGCATCTTTCCATCGAAGACAGTTACCTATTAAATTGTATAAACAGTGGTTAATTTACTGTCATTCAGGACCAGCTCTGCTTAAGCATGCCTTGATTATTGTATCCAAGCAAGGTATTTGGGGATGACTGCTTTAAAAGCAAAATTCCTTTTGACATTCTGTGCTTGATAAGAGGAGCAGAGTCAATAATGTAGGTTTCAGAAATGCAGAGTGGCATGCTTGTAGCTAGAAAAACAACTGACAACTAGGTATATCTCTCTCCTCCCCACAATTAAATCACCTGCAGAATGTTTGGCAAAATTGCATTTTGAGAGCACAGGAATTCAATTCTCACAAATAGCAGGGATCCTGGGAGAAATCTGAGTAAATTTGTGTTGTAAGCCGCTCCGAGGCTTCAGCAAGGGGCGGCATAGAAATGTTCTAATAATAATAATAATAATAATAATAATAATAAAAAAAACCAGGGAGAGGAGTAATAATTTAACTGTTTTTCAAAAACAGCAGACAATCAGGCATGTATGGCCAATGACAAATAAATACTTTCCATAAATAAAAATAACGAAAAATGAGAAAAAATATCAAACACCTCATTCCTACAGAGATGCCGAGGCATGTGGGGATGGCATATAAAAGTTTTAAATAAATAAATCAGATAAATAAATCAGATAAATTAACCAGGAGAAAAGATGATCCTAAAGCGAATACTAAGCCAGTGTGGTGTAGTGGTTAAGAGCATGGGACTGGGACTTAGACGATCTGGGTTCTAGTCCCCGCTCAGCCATGGAGCCAACTGGGTGACTTTGGGCCAGTCACAGACTCTCAGCCCAACCTACCTCACAGGGTTGTTGTTGTGGGGATAAGATGGAGGAGGAGATGTAAGCTGCCTTGAGCCCTTTGTAGGAAAAAGGCAGGATATAAATTGAAAAATAAATAAATAAATACCAAGACATACCTTCCTACTGAGGAATCCCCAGACAGATGGGGATGAACTGAACTGAATTCATGACTTAGTTCTCACTGAGAAAGTAAACCTGTGTCTGGACAGTCCCACTTCAGACAGCAAGTGGGAACTCACATTCCTAAATGCCGTATTGCCTGCACGCAGAAAACTAACAAGTCAGAGAAAGATAGGCTGGAACAATCCTCCCAGTCTCTTGACATGCCTGTTTTCTGTGTGCAAGGAAGAGGAATTGCATGAATGTCTGCATTTTGTTGGGATCTGTAACAATATTCCTATCCAGAACCAGAGCCCTCCACATCTATACCAGCCAAATTTTCATTCCTCTGAACAGTCAGAGCTTTTCCACACAAGGCTGTTACTGTGCTGCATCTACTTTGGTTGTATTATAGAACTGAGACTCAATTCCCTTTCAGTTCAAGAACTGAATTCACTTTTGGAGATACTGGGGCTGTATTCCTCTGCTGGGTGGGAACAAATGCAAAGGAGAGGGAGCCAAAATTCCTGAAATACCAGCATATTGTAAAAAGGAGAGAAGCATGTCTTCCTTTTCCAATGAGGAAATAAAACTGCAAAAAGCACCAAATGGCTGGCACTGTGTGTAAGGAAGCAGGAATTACCTGGTGAAATGGAGAAGGGGACATGGAAACCGGAGGAACTGCTGGGGGCCAGATTTGGCCCCTGGGCCTGGTGTGAGGCAGACAAAAGGGCAGCATTCGTGGGTTCTGCCCCTGCTGTCACTGATGCCTGCCCAGTGCTGCGTCCTGAAAGGTGGCCCTTCTCTACTCATGGAAGCTTCCCTCATGATGCGTTCTTACTTGCCCAGAGAACTTATGCCTGTAGAGCAAGCCCCTTCTTAAGACCTTCCCCCAGCCCCTCCCACAACAAATACAAGCAGAGGGGCAGGATTCACTGGGAATATAATGGCAAGGATGGGGTTGCTTAGCATGGCCCTGCACCTCCACTCACATGACTGCAGTTGCATGAGACACAATGCCTGAACTGAGCCCTGGTTTCTATTATGCGGGGTAGCAATACAGAAAACCCTATGAAGGAATCTCAGTTTATGGGCTGGGGAGGAGCTGAGTGCCCTGATGCAGAATGCAAGCTTTTTGGGCAAGGTGCTCGAGTGGGACAACTCCAGGCACTCTTGGAGGAAACTGATCATCTTGACCCATTTCAGTCTGGCGTCAGACCCAGCTATGGAACTGAAACTGCCTTGGTTGCCCTGCATGATGACCTGTGCAGCGAGAGGGATAGGGGTTGTGCATCCCTGTTGGTTCTCCTGGACCTCTCAGTGGCTTTTGATACCATGGACCATGGTATCCTTCTGGATAGGCTGGCCAGGTTGGGAGTTGGGAGTTGCTTTGCAGTGTTTCCACTCCTACCCGTCTGGCCGATTCCAGAAGGTTGTGCTGGGAGATTATGACTCTGCACCATGGCAACTTTGGCATGGAGTTCCCCAGGGTTCCATTTTATCCCCTATGCTTTTTAACAGTTACATGAAATGCTGGGAAAGGTCATCTGGAGGTTTGGGCTGTGGAGTCATCAATGCGCTGATGACACCCAGCTCTACCTTTCTTTTACATCTAGTCCAGGTGAGGCAGTGGCTGTCCTTAACTGGTATCTGGCCAAGGATTTGGGCTGGATGAGGGCCAATAAATTGAGACTGAATCCAGATAAGATGGAGGTCCTGTTGGTAGGCAGTTCAGCCTTCCAGGCAAGTGATTTTAGCCCTGTCCTGGATGGCGTTGCACTCCCCCTAAAGGAGAGGGTTTGCTGTTTGAGAGTGCTCCTCAACCCAGAGGTGTCCCTGGAGTTCCAGATGGCAGCGGTGGTGAGGAGCAGTTTCCTTCAGCTTCGGCTGATCCACCAACTGGGTCCGTACCTGGATGAGCATTGCCGTGCAACAGTGACCCATGCTCTGGTAACTTCCTGGTTGAATTATTGTAACACACTGTATGTGGAGCTGCCCTTGAAGATGGTCCAGATACTTCAATTGGTTCAGAATAATGATGCCAGAATGTTAACACCTGTCCTTTGTTGGTTACACTAGCTTCCAGTTGAAGTCCGGGCTCAATGTAAGGTGCTGGTAATGACCTATAAAGCCCTAAATGGCTTGGGTCTGGGATACCTAAAGGAGCGCCTTCTTTCCTATGTGCCATCCTGCCCCTTGATATCTGAGGTGGAGGTCCTGCTCTGGAAGCCCTCCTTGAAAGAGATTAGGAGGGAGAGTACCCAGAGGAGGGCCTTCTCTGTGGTGGCGCCCCGACTATGGAATATGCTCCCAGAGAGATTCGCCTGCTGCCAACGTTATATTATTTTTAGTGTCAGGCAAAACCCTTTTTATTTTCCCACTGTTTTAATGTTTAATTGATTTAACTGGAGTTTTAGTATGCTAATGGTAGGATGCTGTGGGGTTTGCTTTATTCTGCTTATTTATTGTAAGCTGTCCCAAGATGTTCTGTAGGGGACAGGCTAGAAAAGCTTTTAATAAATAAAATAACAGTTGCTCCAGCCCTCAAGGTCCCTGTTTCCCTCAGCTTGTCTTCTTGGCTTCCCAACTCCCGGTTTGCCTGACCATATTTGCCTCTCAAACAGACTTGGCCTTGTGCTTCAACTCTGACCTTTGGACAGTGTGACTGTGCTCTTGGACTCGCCCTCGTGCTGCACCCGGTTGCCCAGGTCCTGGTGCTCCTGTCTGTAAGTCAGCCACCCATGCCCCAGATGCTGACACTGTGATGGGTGAACCTAGCCAGAGTGTGTGTGTGTTTATTACAGCAACCTTCTCTGACTTTGTACCCTCCAGATACCTTGAACTACAGGCCCCATTACTCCCAACCAGCATGACCAATAGACATTTGGGCTGGGGATGATGATATTGCTAGTCCAGCATATCTGGAAAGCACCAGACTTGAGAGACACCATGATTTTTCCACCCCAAAGCACTGAAAATTAGACTTAGTTTCTTTGGTATCTAGAAGTCACAGCATCAGTTGGCTGAGTGAGAACATCTGGATCTCCCCACTGGATGTCACCATTTTTAAGCTGTTCCATTTGTAAGCAGCCAACCTGCAGTTTTTATATAATAAAATGTACCTAAATTTTATTTTCTCAGTACTAGAAAATACTCCCAGGTCAGTGGACAGATACCTGACATTTATCTAACATTAAAAGCTGCTGTCTGAGTGATAAAGGATATGTTCATTTTGTGGAGAGGAGTGTGGGGAGGAATCACTCCTTGTTCTCTTACCCAACATTGAGTACAGACTAAATGGCTTTTTATTAGCCTGCAAGGAGCTACATGTCCCTTTCCTACAGATGAACACCTGTGGACATTGCCCAGACGTTATGGAAAGGAGGTTTTGAACTGCGTAGTTCAAGCTAATGATCCACAGGAACAGCTGTTAACCAGACCATGTTTTCAGGAAGGACAAAGAGGCTACAGATTGGTCTGTAACGCAGATTTGCCTCCCTTAAATTTGTGAATATGGTTGACATGGGGTATCATGTAGAAAACAGGCATGCTTCATCTGAATGAGGCTATTTTATTCATGTTCTCTGTGTTTTCCTGTTTTTGTGATCATGATTACAATTTTCAATTTTAAGCCATGACAGACTAAGAATGTGATTTCTCCCACACAGCAAAAGGACAAAATGCAAAGTTAATACTTAAACATGAATCATGCAGGTTACTGTGACATGTACACATACTGGGCATCTAAAAGGCAATTTTGATTTTGTTCTCGGGGAAAAAAGTAGAAAGCTCTCTTATTTTGTTCTCTCTTTTCTGGATCCTTCTTATGCTTCTGTTTGCACATGTACCGTTTATGTATAAAAATAATAGAATGAGAATTAGTACTGAATGAACGCCATTGCCTGCTAAACAGCAGTTTAGGAACCTGCTAATTAATACATAAACGTTTAGTTGTTCAGCATGACAAGTGAGGGTTCTTCTATTAATCTGCTGCATCTACTAGTTTCATTGCAGAACTGAGACCCAACCACTGCATGAAGGAAGTTTCCTTTCTTGCTTTTCTGCTACATAACCTGTAGGTGACACTGGGGTATAGTGGAATAATGCAAGAGAAAAAAGTGGTTTTTTTCTTATTTTCAATTAAATGCTGTATTTTTCCTGCTCTTAAAAACAACAAAACCAACTAAATAAAAAACCCTCACCAAAAGCATTCTTCAAAAGAGAAGCAAAATTGGAAGTCATGAATGATAGCCACCTAAACAACCCATAAAAACTCTTGAGTAGGGAATGGTGATGATGATTAGTGTTATATAGAAATCCATGAGGCTAGCGGGATGAAGCAACTTGATTCAGGCAGCATTAAGAAAGAGGAAATAGAAGAATGTAGGAGTTGTTGCCTGAATGTTTCAGCAGGAGGGATGGATGAAGGCAGGGATGGAGAAGATGGGGCTTGCAATTCAACAACTGGAGAGCCCCAACATCCCTCATTATTGACATGAAGTTCATGGCCTATGAGAGGGCCACACATTCCCACCCCTGTTTTAGAGTTCAGTATTTCAACTAGCTGCTTCAGGCAGCAGAACATTTTTGCCTGACAAAGGAAATCCTTCTTTTGGAACACGGCTGCTAACTGGGATATACATCAAGCCTGGCACTTGACATTGATCTGCTCCAGATGAAATAGACAATGACTCTTCTGGATTTTGTCCCAATATCATGAGTAAAATTGCACAGAGAGTGTTCTCTAGTCTAATGTGCCAGAACTAAGGTGCAGAAGGTAGGATTGCATTTCAGTGGATCTACTGGACTAATATTGTACATACCCCCTACTCTTCCCTCATTCTCTTTGTGAACATTAGTCTTTGCTTAGGCTATCTCTGTTGTCTAGCCATTATTATTATGTTACACATGCAGCTATTATTTAAAACTCTCTCTCTCCTTGAAACAGATGGCACAAAACTTGCAAGGGATCCAAGAAGCAGCTATTTTCTGACAAATGGACTGTGACCAATATGCCAGTACCACAGAGATACACCAAGTTCTTCTTGCTAGGTTTCTACTCCTGCTGCTCAGAATAAAGAGTTATATATGTCTAGTAGACAGATGTTTAGGTGGCCCAACCTATCCCCACAGCCCAGGCAAGCAAGAGCTAAGAGGACTGGGTGCAGGAGATAATTTTATTGCCTCCTCTTGTCTGCTCAGGTAGGAAAGAGGTATCAAGGACCTGTTGCTGGGCAACAGCAACTTCTAAACAGGTCAAGTATTGTTGGACTTTTTCCTTAGCCCAAGAAAGAAAGAGGAGAATCTCTGAGATTTATTGATCCCTTTGGCAAATTTGAGGGCATACTTAGAATGAAGATGACTTGTTTGAAAGCAGCCTTTTGAGAATTGTCTGATAGTTGCAGAATCTCCTTTTTGAAACTTAGCATTTATCTGCCTGTCTATTCACAGAGAATGAGAAAGAGAATTATAGGAATTATATAAGCAATAAGTTCAGTACTATGCTGCAGGCCCACATAGTTGGTTAAATTTAAGTTCTTTAATGGAGTTTCACAGAAAGCTAATGTAGCTTTGTTGACCATTCAGTCAAGTTTCAAAATCCATATTAGTGTATTACTTTTATTAGGTCCACATAAAGGTCACAAAAATGTGCAAGCTTTCAAGATCTCTAAATCCCTTTATAATGAAGAGCTCTGATGAACAGATCTAGAGATGTCAAAAGTTTGCACATTTTTGTAACAGGTTGGGCTAGTAAAAGTATTACATTAATGTGGATTCTGGAATTAATAGTTTTTTCCTCTAAACAAGTATTACAACAACCTGTTTGAATCTGAATCTTTCTGTCTTCTACCAAACAATATGGCCAGAATAGGATTGCATTGTCCCTTCCCTTCCCTTCCCTTCCAGCTACAGAGGACCAGCTTGGAGGGAATGGCAGGCCAGGATCCCAAACAGAAGCACTCCTTTGGGGAGGAATAAAGCCATGCATGAATTTTCTACTTTTCTAAGTTTACCTGGCTTTGTACAGTTGATACTATATCATACCAGATACAGCATAAACAATGGCAAGTTACCTTGAAGGCAAAGAAATGATCGGTGTATTTTTTACCAAACACGAACTCCGCACCGGCATCAGTGTATGCCAAGAAAGCCTTGAAAGAAAATTAAAAAAAGATTAAAAAATAACATTGGCAATATTTTTTTCCCTAGACATCAGTATGCTAGGTACTTATTACCCTCTCAGGTCATCTTGACATTTGTCTTAATTGATATACCTCAATAGGTGTGTCTGTGGAGAACAATCAAATATGACCAACTGGGAGAGCCAGAGATTATACAAAATATGTGGTTGAACAGAACTGACTGGAATTCCCAGTTGCTTGAATCAAGAAAAAATTCTGCTTCACATTGCTGCAAAGGTGATGCCAGTTTCTGTAAAGGGTAACAGCTGCATAAGGAAGAATATACCCACAGTGGATAGTGGAGGAAGGGCCCAGAGGGACACTGTCATAAGTTCCTATTTATCATGTTGAGCAGTCACCCTTCTTAAATTAGGGGTCTGCTAATTAGTAAATAAATATTTAGGGGCAGCAGGCCTTCAGGGTGCTGCTCAAAATGATACATTGGAGCTTTTCTACATGGGGCTATTAATCTACTGCATTTACTTGCAGTTTCATTGCAGGACAGACCCAACCACTACAAGAAAAGGGTTTCCTTTCCTGCTTTCCTACTACATAGCCCCTAGGTGGCACTGTGGTACAGTAGAACAACACAAGAGAAAAAAGTTTTCTTCTATGTTTGCAATTAGAGTTGCAGAACAATTCTCTTTACTTGGAAGCAATTCTCACTGTATTCACTGAAACTTAGCCACAGGTAAATGCATCAGATTTCCGACTAAGAATTCTTTCAGCAGGTGTCAGCCCTTACTTGGAAGTGAGTCTAAATGAACTCACACTGTGGAAATTAATTCTAAGTAAATATGCCTGGGTTTGGGATGTTAGCATAAAGCTATAGCAACCTTTTACTTGATTGGATCAGGGTTCTGTCTAGCTCAGTATTATTTTTCCTGACAGCAGCTCTTCAAGAGAGTTTCAGGGTGGGGTTATTTCTCATACTGAAGAGCTTTCAAGTGAAGGTTCAGGAGTCTTGGTGGGAAAAGCAATTGCCTTTTCCTTGTTACCAGGAGTCCCATATATGTGTCAGGCCACCTTTAAAGCAGCCACTATGTGAATCATTGAGCTACTCCGGGCTGCTTTCTGTCAGCTCCCAGAGCATGGTCAAATAAACCTATTTTGGGGTTCCTGTCCCTCTGAAGCACAGCCATCCAAATGGGTTTCCTCCCCCTCACATAAGTGCCCAATCCACTTCTTGCTGCTGATATATATATAGCCAAGGTAAAGTAACATGGTTCACTTGGGGCTTACCTGCACTTGCTCACCAAGCCAATGGAATGCATCAAATCCTACTTTTGTCCGCAGTGTTATTAGTCCAAGAAAAAATTGCATTCCTATACCCCAAAGCACTGGTCTCCACACAACCTAGCCACACATAAAAGAGAAAGACTAAATGATAGGAACTACTAGGCATAGAAAGAACACGGAATTGACCACATTACACCGTCTAATAGTGAACTCAGGTGGAAGGGGGATGCCAATTGGAGCCACAAACAATCAAGTGGGAAGTATTTGCATGCTTGGGAGAACTCTAAGGTTTGCAAAAGAAACTTTTATAGAACTAGGGTCAGTGTAACATTGTCTATCAAGTGGAAAAGGAAAATAAGAGGGAGAAATACAATACTATGCTGAGTTTTTGTTCTCTGGGGAAGTGTTTACAACTTAAAGCAGCTGTTCCTAACTTGGTGTCTTCCACTTATGTTGGACTGTGTGCACAAAACTCTTCATTCCCAGCTAACATGTCTGAGTGTATCTGGAAGGATGGCAAGTTTGACTGAAACCTTGAACAAGATTTCTCCTACTAGCAGGTGAGAATGCTTTGTAAAAAAATTCACTTGTCACATGCAGTTTTCATGTGCTGTTTCCTAACAAGTTCCTAAACCTGTTTTCTTTCATAGGCTTGGCCACTTCCCCCTTCAGTCCTGAAGAAAGCTTCCAGAAGTGCTTAGAATGGGAACATAATTATTTAATCATCTCTGGAAATTCAGAAAGCATCATGGGTTGGTTGGTTGGTTTGTTTTGCTACCTGAATAAAACCTATGGCTTCCAGTTCTTTTTGAAAATCAAAATTAAAAAGCTACATGTTCTGTTACACTCTGCATTAATTTTCTCTGTTGCTATTAAATTATACTTGAGTTATTCCACTTGACACTTATCCTTGCTTTTGTTTAATTGTTCATCATAGTACAGAACAGGTTAGACTGAGAATTGTTATGCCAAAGTAGCTTGATTGCCAATTGATGAGAAATAAGGGAGGAAAAATAACACTACCACCTGGCTTTTAACAGTAGCTTTATATAGAGAGTTAGTAGCTTTTCATGGCAGTGAAATAAAAATTAGCCCTGTGCATGTGTTTGGGTAGCCATTTGTTTTTCTTTTGTTGTCCTCTGTTTGAAAGGCTGCCAGAGGATTGCTGTTTATTTGAAGGGTGGTCCTGTCCAATTGCAATTCCTATTTAAAGAACCCCAAGAACGGTTTCCTTAGTGTTGGTAGAGGCAACTGGGCAGGGAGACAACAGATCACCTGACCCCAGTCTTTCACACTGTGCTGAGCTATCCTGTATTTCACTTTAAATTATAATAATTATTTCTAAATGGATACCTCTACATATAGATTTGCATAAGTAAAACAGAAAACTCTTTTGTCCTTTTAAAAAGTCCTTTATAAGTGGCTGCTGATAGACAAACATGACCTAATCATAAATCTCAAGGCTCAGAGGCACTCTTATGCATCATATACAGGTAGTCCCTTGTTTACAAATGAGTTCTGTCCCTGAGAAAATGGAAATTCATCTGTAAGTCGATTTTGTATGCAAGTTGGATCACGTATAGTTGGCCCTCCACATTCATGGGGGTTAGGGGCACAGGACCCCAGTGAACACGGAAAAACAGTATTTCTGCCGCCCTAGATCTAGAAAGCCTCCTCTTTGCAGCAAGGAAATGCTGGAGGGCGGGAAAGCATGCTTTGGAGGCCTTTCTCTCACCCTTTTTCGCTTTTATCCCCCCGCCCTCCATATGGTGCTGCTTTGAAGGCCCTCCCTCACTCCCATTTCACTTTGTATCTATGGTGATGATGACTTTTTGCCATAATTTTTAAAAATTAATAGGCTCTATGGCAGTTTGTTCATAAGTACAGGTTGTTCATAACTCAGACATTCATAACTTGGGGACTGCCTGTATACAATGGTGGCTGACCTTTGTGTAGACTAAGGAGGTGACCCTCCCAAATAGCAAGCGGGGCAAGAATGGGGCCAAGGAAATTAGCTGAGGCCAGACTAGATTGGAGCAAGGCCATGCCACAGAACAGTGGGTGGGGCAGAGCGAGGGGGAGTAGAAAGTTTAATCAGCAGTATAAAGGTTAGAAACCTGTGTTGTTTGGGTGGGCGTTGCACGTGTCCCGGCTTTGCTTGTATGTTCATGTAGTTCTCATTATTCCTGGAATAAAGCTGCGTCCTTCTGAAATGCTGTTTTGACTGGTCAGGCTCACCAGGCAAACCCCCTGCCTTATGAGGCTTCTCAGATTTCAGTAACTCTGCCTAACAGATACGCCAAAAATCAGGCAGCAGGCTCAGGGCCAGTCCTCCCTTTAGGCAAAGAGGGAGACATTGCCTCGGCCTGTACATGCTACTGTGGGGACAGCAGAGGCCTCCTCTCAGGGGTTTCTCCTGTCTACGTTTAGCCTGTGGACGACAAAGCTTTGTATACTACCAAAGCTGTCATGCAGCCACTAAAGTAGCTCTCTGCCTCAGGTATGGCAGAGGATAATAGCACATTGCCAGTCTTGAAGTAACTTGTTTATTTACTATATTTATATCCCACTTTTTTTCCTTCTAAGGAACTCAAGGTGCCTTACACAGTTCTCCTGTTCATCTCATCCTCACAGAAACAACCCCGTGAGGTAGGTTGAGTTGAGGGTTGCCCTCTTTTCTATCTTACTAAATAGAAACATAGAAACAGAGCAAATCAGAAGGGGCCTCTCGGGCCATCTAGCCTGACCCCCCCATCTTCAGCCAGCTCCACTCATGACATGTCTACCATGTGCATGTTCAGCCTATCCTTCAACACCCTCATTGATGGGGCTTAAACCACCTCCCATGGAAGCCCATTCCATACTGTTGGGGTCCTAACTGTGAGGAAGTACTTCCTGGCATCCAAATTGAACCTTGCTTCCCTGAGCTTTGCTCCATTGGAATGCCTCCTGCCCTTCTCTGCAGGGGAAAACAGGCCTCTACCCACCCTGCGTACCTATATGTACCTATATGTCTCCATATATATGAAGAAACTTTACCTCTGTACATTAGTGTACTTGTTCAACCCCTTCCAACAAGTTCCAAATGCACAGAGGCGGCGTATGTTGTACACTCCTAGTATGGTTAGCTGGGAGTGTAACTACCAGGCACATTGACAGTGCTCATGGCTCTTTCTTTCAGCATGAAAGTAGGTCATATGAGCCCCATTTTTCTATTCCTGGGGTGGGCAGCATGTAGTCCTTCAAATATTTTGGCCTAAAACTTCCATGATCCGTCACGGTTGGCTCCACTGGTTGCAGTGGATGAGACCTACAGGTCAAAATATCTGGCACACCCTAAGTTGCCCACCCTTGTTCAAATCCCTGCAGAAGATGGGAAAAAGCTGTTAAAATACAAAAGCTGGCTAGGGAAGTGGGCTTGGGGTTGGTTTTGGCAAGTTGACAATTTGATCAAATGGAAACATTTAGCCATCAAAATATCTAAGTATGGCTTACATAGTAAGTATCTGAAGTAGTCTACCTGACGGTTCTTTCCCTCAGTGCTGCTTTTCTGTCCCAGTTTATAAACCTCATCAGTTTGCAAGACAGATAATGGGATCCAGTGAGTCTTTGTTGATTTGCACTCACTTTAGTAAAATAAAATTGGCCTGTTAGGGGAATTATGACTTGGTAGGGGTGGGATGGGGGCAACACAATTCATGTTTGTGTTGGTAGTAAAATTCCTGCATGCAGGATTATGGGTTAAAAGTCAATACAGTTGTTTAAGAAAATAAAATATTGTTAGGGGACTGGATGATCAGAACTGGTACTTTTTGGAATTTCTTGTGCTTCTGATGCACCATTCCCATCAGTAAGACAGGGCCAATTTCTGAGGGGTATTCTTTATAATCGTTTGGTGCAGAGCAATAGTACATTAAACTGACCATGCAAATAAAAAATGTGTGAGTACTCACTTTGGTTGGGTATTTAGAAAAGATCAGCATCAAAAGAACATACATTACAAGCCCACCAAAGGAAATGAGCTGTTTGGTTCCTTGTTTGGCTGTGTCAAAGATAAGCCAGCACACAATGGCAGCTATTAGAGCAATCCATGTGACCCTGGGTAAGAGGAGTTTGAACAGTACAATAAACAACATTGGAAAGAAAGTCATGATCTTTGTCAAGACAAGCAGATGGCAACTTTTGAGGGCTGGAGGCTATACTGACCACCCCGAGACCTGCAGAGCTGTATTCCTTTCCTGATTCCACTGAAATCTCTTTGCTCGAAGATAGGTCTTCACTTTCCAATAGTCTATTGTTTGACATTTTCCAATTATTTTATAAACACCTTTTATAGTAAACTAATTTATAATCCCATCCCATCTCTAGATAATCTATCTATTACCCTATCTATCTAAACATACCTCTGCATTTTTTCCCAATTTATATACAAATAAGACAAACCATATATTTTGGTGGCTGAAACATTTGTATTGAAATTGGTTTGATTTGCTCCTGTTCCAATACTAAAGATATGCTATGCTTTTAATACCATGGAGTTAAACTTTATCATGTACTAATTGCTTCAGGTAAAACATTTGCTAAAAAGAGGGTACAAAAGAGCTTCAAAGTTTGACACAGCTACCTATTTTACAGTATACCTCTTACTCTCAGTGTTTATTAAGTATTTCTTGCTTATTGAAAAATAAGCAACATTATTTCAAAATATGATGATTATTTTAGTGAATAAATTCATAGCACTACATGATAAAGAGCTAAACACATATTCTTACTCTGCAAAGGAAGGAAGCCATAGTATATTTACCATTTCAGCCAAAACCACTGTGTTTTCAGAAACTTTCCACAAGGAGAAAAGGATTCTGCGATTCTGTCCTCATATTTGGCTATCAGAAAGTCCCAACAGATGAAAAAGATGGCTAGGAGAGTGAGGACGAAGAGGGCCAAAGCTCTGCGAAAGTTCAAGACACAGGCCGCAATTACCATTGCCAGATAAGCTGTCATGGAAACAGGCATCAGCGTATCAGTTAGGTCCATAGCACAGAATAACTATTCATTCCTCAGACAAGTCCCAAGGGTGGTCTACAAATATATTTTGCTACAATTTATCCAAACTTTTGTTTGGAAAGCAGTACATCAAACAATCCTGTTTACATAAGTTGGTGTCCTTACCAATAAAATCTTACTTTTATTGAAGACAAACTTATTAATGGAAAGCAGAGAAAGAAAACAGAGGATAAGACTTTTTGAAGGGAGTGGAAACAACCTTATCCAAGAAAAGTCCCTTAAAAAAAGCAAATAGTAATGCTGGTATCATTACTTAATTATTTTTATACCAAAGTAGCCAAAACTCCCTGGGCAGTGAACAACAAATGATGCTTAACATTAATGAAATGAAAGCTAGGACCACCAGCAGAGGTCTCTCCATGTTTTCTAAACAAGAGCATTCAACAGTTTATTGGCTTACATGTTGAATTTTTTCATAGATATATGTACTTTTGAAATTCCTTCTTATCAGAGAGGCGGACCTGGAAAAATAACTACAGCAGGAATGCAACTGGCATGGTGGACACAGAGAACCATATAGGAGAAACTATGCTATGATGTAGTGCCTGGATCATATTGGAGCAAGGTGAACAACAGCAAAGTCCTATGAAAACTTCTGCTAATTTTTTGTAAAAATGAACAAAAATGAAATATTTATCTTATCTAAACTACCTAAATGGTTACAGCTGTTCCAGCATGGGGAGGGCCTGATATATCTGAATGCTAACAAGTGGTTAAAACTGAGCATCTTATCTGAAAAAGGAGGGGACTGTGCTAACTTAGCACGATGAACATAGTTGAATATGCATGGATTCAAACCCAACCTTTGAAACCCAGCAAAGGATGAAACCCTAGGCCTTAGTTTCCGTTTCTTCCACACTTGATATTCCTTTAAATCTCAAATATTTTTTGTTTCAGATACAAAAAAAATGTGCATGTTGGTAAATTCTTATCAAAACGGAACTGAACTGGAATCTCACCTATCCCGAATCAGGAAATTCAACACAAAGCCTGTAGAAAGTTGGAAATTGATGGCCTAGACATAAGTATTGTTGACTGACTTCACAAGAGTTGCATCAAACGTGCTTTTCCTAAATCACACTGGCTGTGTAGGAGCTGCCTGTGGCATTCAGGAGACTCCTTCTAAAGACATCTCTCCAAATGTTGGGGATAGTGATGGGGCAGTGGGATATTAATTATGTGAGAGGATGCTCAAATATGGCATGGTGTTTTTTGCACAACAGGACAAATCAGCAGGTAATTAACTAATGTATATTTAACATCTGGTTTGCTTTTTTTGGGGGGTGGGGGAAGGAGAAAAATGGTTACTGTGGATATCCAAGCACTACTGCCTATCAGGAGCCATTCCAGTGAAACCTGGCCAGTCTAGGTCCAGCTACTTCAATACTACAACCTGGACAAATGTCCAAAACAGGAACACTCATTCCAATATAGTCAATTTGTCTGAAACATGAAAGAACATTGGAAGAAACAAAGAATTTAATGAAAGGAAGTTAAAACCACAACTTAGCAAGAAGAACCATCTTTATTTCACTTGTGTGGTTTGCTAATTCTAGGCAGAATTGACTTCTAGTCAGGAGCTTTCATGAAGAGTTAAATGGATTCATTTTTGGCTCACTCCATTTCATGGCATATAAAACAGAAGAAGTCTCTTTGATCCTTGTAATTAAGTAAGGCCATTGTTTTTTCCTGCTGTGCACAAATCCCCTAGTCCTTCCAACAACAAAATAACTGATTGGGGAGATAGTTTCAGAGAGCTGGCTCTCTAAATGGAGCCACACGTGCACTAAAGCCAGCTTTAAGCAAATGACATGATACAGAGGTACCTTTTCAGTGTCATGCCTGGGGAAATAGAATATACAAAATGTGGTACTTTTTTGCATTGTAAGTTTAAGTGACAGCTTGTAGGATAATGCAAGATTATGTCATGCTCTGTTCTTTGTGCTTTCATTAAGCCTGAGGCAGGAGGAGTCACCTGGCCAATTCAGGAAAGGGCAGACTAGAACAGCCTATCTGAAGAACTTTGTCTTACAAATTGCAGTGCTGACATGACAGGAGAGGTGAGCTTTATTTTAGTAATGGTATTACAAAAGGGGTGGACAGCAGCAAGATGGCAGAGGCTTGCTGGCTCAATGTCATTCAACCACATCTTCTGTTGCACTTCACTGAAGGACTGTAAGAGATGCTGTGTTCATGGCCAAAGTCTTCAGATTAAAAAGACAAACAAAATGTGAAGGACACTGGTTGGAGTGTTGCATGCATGGTTTGAATTTTTCTGTTGTGCTATAATTGCTGTTTTGGAATGTTGGTGGTTTTATTTATTTTACAAGCCTTGACACTGCATTTCTCATTTATTTAAATGAATTATATGCAAATGAACTATATCAGGTGTTCCCACTTGCCCTTCTGTGAGATGTGCCTGGTGTAGGGAGTGGGCCTGCTTCTTCCAAAATAGAGCATTCAAAGACAGGTATTTCAGACTTTGAGTATGAACTAGAAGAGGTGGGGTTGGAATTCTGAGGGGAAAATGCCAAAGTCAGTGAGGTTTGAGAACCAGACCAGCTCTGGCTCAGAGGGAGACCCTGTAGGACAGAGAGGTGCCTGATGATGAAAGCCTGCAGATTAAGTAATGCCCAGTTTGAGCAGCAGGAACCTCTCTGAGGGTGGCACTAATTCCACTTGGTAGGGGAGGAGGTGGACTAGTTTGGAATAAGCAGCGCTCAATTCCTGATTAGTGGGCTCATTAACTTGATGGCTGGTTCTTGCTTACTACCTAACAAAGCTTGGTTCCAGTGACAGTTGTCCTGGGAGTGCAGAAAAAAAGGGAAAGAATCCCCCTAAGGTACAAAACCTAAGATCAGTCTGGCCTTAAGTGCAGTTAACTGCCCCTTTATAGCTCACTGCTTTGTTCTGCTTTGAGAAACTGTTCCCTCTCCTCTTCCTTTTGTCTTCACTCCTTTTTCTCTTGTGTGTCTTTTTATTTTAGCTTGTAATGATAGGACTTTTTCTCTCTCTTCCTCTTTCTCCTTCCCCCTTATGTTGATGTGAGCCATTTTGAGCGACAATAATTGGAAAATTATTAAAATGAGGAAAATGCAATAAACAATTAAGTTTTGTCCAGAGCATTCAGAATAAGAGAGGCAACTTTTCCAAATAACTTGTGATCCATAAAGTGAGGGATGCCTGCTGCCTTTATAAGAGCACATCTGTTTTGTTTTCTTTTTTGACCCAGTCTTTGTTTTACTGATTCATTCTTGGCTTACCTGCTTTGCATGCAGAAGGTTCCAGGTTCAATCTACATCATCTCCAGGTAGGAGAAACTCCCAAAATTCTGAAGGCTGTTGCTAATCAATGCCATCTATACTAGGGTAGATGCACCAATGTTCTGAGGTCAGATTAAATGCTTTTCTAATCAACATAGCAGAGTTAAGAATAAGTGGCTTTTTTACTTCAGTGTGAGCATGCATGGTCCCAGCTAGAATTGTAACTATGGTGCTCCAGAAAGGGGAGAATTTAAGCATTCCTTTCCCTGTTTTTATCCTGAATCTCCACCTCCTCAGCAGGTTGAAAAAAAAGAGGGGAGGGGGAGAAAGGGAAAAATCTTTTTTTCCTTTTCCTAACTTCCTGGAGGTGCGGGGTGGGGTGAAATTTCAGGATCAAAAGTGTGTGTGTGAGAGAAGCTTATATCCCTTCTCCCTGAATGCAACTTCCCCAATAGGAATTTGAAGAATTCTGGCCCAGAGCTTCCTATGTTCTATGTTTAGAAAAATTACCCCTCTTTAAATTTACCTTTGGATAATGAACAGAACAGTGACAAAGATAGTTCTGAAAGATTGCAAGAGAAATTCTAATCACTTCCAGCTTAATTTAGAGGATTTCATGATGCCTGAGGCTTTGCTGTATCACTGTTGCAAGAACTACACATTACTGCACTTGTGTGAACAGTAATGCATAGTTGCAGGCACACTCTCTAAGTGACTTTTACACAAGCTGCTTGGAGGGATTACACTGGACTAGATACAGCCTCCTATGTCTGGAGGAACCCAGGTTGGATATCCTGTTGTTTTTATGTCCCATAAAGTCTTCTCCGACTTATGGCAACACTACGAATGGAAGTACTCCAAAATGCCCTATCCATGATATCACTGCTTAGCTGTTCTAAATTCAAGGCTGTACTTCCTTTTTGGAGTCAATTATCTCCTATTTGGTCTTCCTATTCTTCTGCCTTTAACTTTCTCTTGCATGGGAAATCTTAGTGCCAAGAAAATATTTTCCTGCTTGATTCTGGATAATCTAATTGCCTTTGAACAATGACTGTGATGGATCAGGTAAAGGGGCTCTGTGTGTCCAAAGGAGCTCAGCCCTGATGTTGTGCCTTTTCCTAGCCCTGCCTCCAGGGTTCATGCTGTCCAACAATACCTGTTATTAGAATGCCATACATCACATATCGGATGCTGGTTTTATGTTTCCTGCAATAGTGACCGACCATATCATACTTCTTTTTGAGATATCTAGAATGACAAAAGCAAAGGGAAAACTGAATACTGACAAATTATGAATTTTAAAACAACCAATGCTGAACTTGTAAACAAGAAAGACAACATGCCAAAGTTAATAGTTTACATATAGTAGTTTGCAGGAATCTGATTCTATCAGTATAATAGCATTCTAGCATAATAGGCATTGTCCAGTCCTCTTTATATTTCCATCTTTTATATCCTGTGTGAAATTAAAATGCCTCATAACTTCCTACAAAACGTATTGGAGTACTTGGACTTCAGCTTGTAATGAGTGAGCCCAAAGCTGTTCAAATCAGAGGGAGGGTATTGAATTCTGGTGGCACATGCTGCTGGGCCTTTAACAGCCACCTGACTTACACACATTAGCAAAAATAATTGTTATACCCATGCTAGGAGAAGCTTCACATGGTAGTTCCTGCATATTATGTTGCTCTTAAATGCAGTATAGTAAACCATGCCACATCTTTTGGTAAATTGGCAGGCCTTAGTCATTCTGTTTCACTTCACTTCACTTCTGGATCAGGCTATAAGCCAGAGGAAAATCTGGAGCAGAGCCCAGAAGGCTTGTATGTTGTTGATTTTCTCAACAAAGTATGATAGTAAAGCTAAAATAGAAAAGCAATTAAACTTATTTAAGTTCAGGAGCTTGTTAAATCATGACTCACTCCATTGGCAACCTTCACCATATATAAATTAATTGAAGAAAACTTCAGGGAAAATTTAGAAGCATTAATGGCATTATTTAGGTATCTTACTCATGTTGACTTCAATTTGCTAAGTTTTTTTCCCCTGTAGTAGTCATATTTAATTTTGTGGAACAGTTCCATAATTTTGTAGCTGATAAATACTGCAAATCAGTACAAAGTATTAGTCATCTGTATCTTTGAGAACCCACTCTCTCAAATTAGAATGATTAGAATAATTATTGATATTGCTTTACTTACAGCTAGAGTAGTGATGATGAAGTTAGAAAGTGACTTAAAATATAATAATATTTGCAACAGTTGTAGCTATTGAATGTGTTTATCTGAGTTCCAAAGGAGATATACAGTGGTCAAGCATATACTGAAAACTGGTCAAGGTCAATTTGAGTATTGGATATTCAGTTTTATTGGCTGTTTGTATAATACAGAGCCCATCATTGGTTGTTTAATCCAAGTGAGGCATGATGTGTGCAGCTGCCATGATGACAATGCACCTCTGAGTCAGGGTTTGTTGTGTTGTATGAATCCAGGATCATGAGTTATGTGAGGGCAAAACAACACATGCATTATTCATCATCTGTTTTCAAGGTTATGCAAAGGTTGTTTAATAGTTGCATTACCAAAGCATGTTGGATTTGCATTACACAGTGACCCATGAGTTGGATATGCAATTCCTGTCCATGAGTGCCATGACTCATTAGGGTTTTAGTCATCCAGGATGAACCATACTGTGTCATCTGAACCTGGACTTCGAGTGAGGATGGACATAATCATCTAGCAGCTTTGGGCAGCTGTTGGTGCGCCAGTGGGCCTCACCACTAATGCCTGCCCTGGGGCAACTTTGAAAAACCATGGACCCTGTGCTCTGTGTAATGCTAGGCAGGTGGATTGTTTCTCCAGAAAAGCTTTGTTCCAGGTGCTGTGGACAATTTAAATGGCAACTACACGCAGCAGTTGGATGTTGTTTGAGGTGCTCCTGCTGCAGCCCAATATCAGTACCAGATAAATACCAGATGTGAACCCTCAAATAACTTATGGACTGTTGCTGGGTATTAGAATGTTCTTTTTCCCTTAGCCAAGGCATCCTGCCCAGGTTCAGATAACACAAGTCATGTGGGTGATTATGCAAATAGTGTCTGGCATGCACTGTGGGTTGAACATTGCTCTGTGGCTTATTTAAGCTGTAGTGATCATGAGAATCAGGCCAGTGACTTTGGGCAAATTGTTGATGTTTCAGTGTGACCCTACCTTGGAAGGTTTTCTGTGAAAATAAAAGGGGACAATGCTGCATGCACTTTTCTGGATTATCAGAGGACGTGGTGACAACTGACACATTCAAGGTCCAGAAGTGATCTCTCAAATAAGCTGCCACTCATGGAATCTAAGACGTTCTGGAACTGTGGTGCAGAAGACTAGATTGTCAATACTAGATTGATGAGAAAAGGGATAGTTGAAAAATCCAAAATGAAATGATTACCGTTTGGGCCCAGGTTTCTCTCTTTCTTCTGAGTCATGTGTGTTCATTTGAACATCATTCTCAATACTGATGTTTGTATCATACTGGAGGGAGAAAGAATCATAAACAATCTTCATAAGAGCCAAATGAGGGGGATCAGCATTGTTTAATGACTTAGATTCATACTGTTGATTGCCAGCTGGTAAAGCACATTCACCTTGGTCTGTTCCTGCTGCTCTACCAGAGATTTGATATGCAGAAACCAACAAGTTTCCTGGTGACAGAACTAATAGTACCCTTTTTTAATTGCTTCAGATCCAGACTGCTGTTAAGGGACAGGTACAAGGGTCGATTCTTTCCTACCTAAAAAAATGAGATGTGATTGTCCCAGGCTTAGTTGGGGCCAAACCACAATCTGGATATTTGCAAGGATTACAAGTTGGTGCCTTTGGCAACAAAGATGCAGATGAAAGAAAACAGCACAACTGGAGAGTCACTAACTTCTTACATCAAAACTTCCCGAAGGGGAAGAAGCTGTAATTGTGCACTTTGCAACATAGATTGCAGAGTGGGTTTCCCTGTTGCAATGGCATTGAAGGTTTAACTATTTCAGCTCCTTTCTGCCTTTGCCTCTTGCTGACAGCTGTTTCTTACATAACACATCGGAGACCAGATACAGGAAAATGAACTTTCATTTGCAGCTGGCTCCTCTGCAACACAGAACTACTGCTTGCTAGCAGCTCCATCATTTTTGCTGAGATAATCTTAGCTGTGTGTGTACATTTACATGCATGCCAAACTGTGTTGCAGTGATTGCATAGTGCACTTACCCTGAAGCAAAAGGCATTATAAGCCTTAATTGAGACTTGTCTGACTTTTACTCTCATCTAAGTGTGTACATCCCCAAGTCAACCTGAAAGCATGGCACTCTGGGAGGAGAGGATTAAACATTTTCCCCACTTCTTCCACCTTGAAATTCTCCTCCCCCTTGCAAGGGATTAAAACAACCTGGCTAGTGGTGAGGTGTGAATGGAAAAAGTTCTAACTTACTTCATCCAGAATGACATAGTCTGGATCCGAATTAGGGCTGTCTATGCTTATTTGAGAGTAAAAAGGCCGCTCACCCTCTGCTGCATTCCAGGCAATTAGCACAATATGTAGTTTGTCAATGTTTGTATGAGTGAGAGAGCAAGAGCAAACGAGAGCATATCACTGGGTCACACTAGATGTGACATTATCCATATCTTTTAATGTGCTTTGTGTTCGGTTTTACATACATACACACAAAACCACAAACCAGTGTGAGGAATATCAGCTTGGATTGGGACCCCAGCTGGAGCAAAACCTCTTTCCCCCACACCCCAATCTGATTGCCCCTACCCTTAATTTAGTAGTTAGATATCAAACACAACAGGGCTAAAGACATGAAATCCTGCTGAAAATAGCTGTCTGTAGGAGTAATCTTGGTCAGGATTATGGGGCAAGGGACAAGGTGAAGCATCCAGCTTGTGTGTCATGAACCCTAACTTGCTTTGTCCCCACATTCTGACTGATATATTTTGATAGGATCACACATTTAAAGTCAAGTGTAAGTTGACCCTTAGGTTGATTCTGGTTCCAGTTAAGTGCTTATGAAAGACAAATCTCTTACGTGGTTACCGCCTCTTTCTGGGTTCCTGTTCCTAAAAGCAGTGTCATTTTCCTTGTTCAAACTGTCACTTCCATAATCCTCCTGAAAGGCACAATAGTGAAAGATGGTTCAAATGTGAAGACCCTGACCAACGCATTGAGCAAGAACAGGAGTAACATCTACACCACTTCAGTAAGAAGGAATCACACTGAAAGACCAACAAAGCTCTTCTCAGACATTCAGTCTGTTTCAAGTAAATATGGGTGGAGAAAGCTGGTGCAGTTTCTCAGCAGAAGCCCCTGGTCTAACCATGGGTCAAACTACAGCCTGTGGGGCAGATCCAGCCTGCCATGGCCATTTATCCGGCCCACCTCAGAGGTTTTCAATGCACTGCGTGCACACCCACCTCACCCACCCGCCCCCATGTGGGGAGGTGGTGGCTTGCTCACGAGGAGATCGTTTTGGACTCATTCGGAGAAAACGATCTCCAAGCGAGCAAGCTGCTACATCGCACGCCTGCCGCTGCATCGTGGTGCGTGCCCGCCCCCACCCTGCCTCACCTCCCCTTGCCATGCGCACTTGCCCATGCCTCACTGCGCCCATGTGCCCTGCCCCCCGCCTCAGCACCCACGCACCCCACCCCCACGCCTGTGCCGGCCTGCACATCCCACCAACACCACCTTTCCGGCCCGTGCCCAGCACTGGCACCTTTCAGCTGGCCCCCTGGTGAAAAAGTTTGAGGACCCCTGCCCTTCATGCTCATTTGAAGGTTGGAATACAGCCTACAGGCCCATGCTCTGTTATTTCATTCTTCAAATGCCCTCATGCAGTATGGCAAGGGCTGTGCACAGAATCCCATCCGTGCTACTCATGAGCCATCATGCCATACTGGCTGCCTGAAAAAGGCAGTGAGTCCAGTTTAGAAGCTAGCATAACAGGAAGCATGAGAAGCAATTGAAAGATGAAGCAATGTTAGCAGGAAGCATCCACAGAATTCAAGCCTAACCCAAATCACTTCTGCAGTGGCCCAAATGACCTTGCTCAATGTCTTACTTGCAGGCCATAACAAGTGTTGGGTTGTTAAAGCAAGAGTACCTACTGACCATGCAAAAACTAGCCTGGCCTTTTCTTGTCCCCTTTCTTGACTGTTAATACAGATCTATATATGCAAATTCAGGATTTCTAGGATTTACTTACATTTCAAGGAAGTGATTTACTTTCAAAGAAGCCAAACTAAGCCAACTAATTTTCAGTCTAAATTACCAGTCCCTAAAAAAAAAATCTTGACTTAATTGGCACCCTACACCCACATCCAAAAGCAGTAGTTCCTCTTCAGTTACAACTGATTTGCAACAGCTGTGGATAGATATGAGAAAATGCACACTAGAAAGTAGGTAGTTTTTAAAATATTGTATTTATATCTATTTCCTTAGGAACCTTTTCATGGGTGCTTAAAAATTACAATTCTGGCACTGAAATGGAATTCCAAAAATTTGGAAGAGCCCCAATCCAATAGTGAGCCAAGGTCAAAGCAGGGGGACACCATCACATTAATTTCCTAATTCCCATTCAAAGCCTGCACCAGTGTCAACTGACCTGGAAGAAGGCCCTCTGAGCTGAATGGATCTTACTTCTCTAGGCTACCTCTCTACTGACTTGTACAGGATTGTGTTGCAAGCCACTTGTTCATCGGATGTGCATTCAGGTAAAACAAAGGCTGTTTTGTGGCAACAGACTGCACTCCTGACCTGTGTGCTTGTTAGAAAGTCCATAGAAAGGTTTCCTGGTGCACTTTTGTCTCTCTACTAAGATTCTGTTGAATGTACAGAGGGTGGGGTTGGAGTCTGTGACCATATTATTTCCCAAGCACACTGAATCAACACCTTCAAAAGCTCAGGGTGTGACCTAAAGCTGCAAATGATGCTTTCTGGGCTACAACAGTGGGGAACACAGAGACTTCCTGTGACCAGGGATGAACAACTGAGCAGGAGTGGCAAGTTGGTGAACTGTTTCCTCCATCACACATCCAAGACCAGATGCAGGAAAATGAAACATTCATTTGCAACTCAGGACTACTGCTTGCTAGCAGCACCATCATTTTTGCTGAGATAGTCTTAGCTGTGTGTGTATGTTTACATGCATGTCAAACTATGTTGCAGTGATTCCATAGTGCACTTACACTAAAGCAAAAGGTAAGGTAAGCCTTAGCTGAGACATGTCTCACTTTTTACACTTACATCAGAACTTCCTGCATAGGATGAAGCTGTAACTGTACAAAAGCCTCTTTTTGAAGGGCTCTCTTGTCCAATGCTAGTGGAAAGTAAATGACAGTCACTCATCAGCCCAGTGGACCTGGGCAAGAGGCCATGCAAGTACATAGGTCACCTGTCACAGTCCTCCATGTTACAATAAGATGTATGGTATTTCTAATGAGATTATATAAATTATTTCTAAATTTGCGAGTATAGAAATAGATTGACATATGCAAATTGCTGTCCTTTCCTGTTATTTTGGCCAAACACAGCAGCTTATAGGCTTGTCTATTATGTCTATTATGGCATTATATTAAAAGTAAAAGAAAAATGAAGAAAGTGAAGAACAGTTGGGTGGGAGAGAAAAGGAATAGAAGATAAGGAAAACTGAACATAGTTTTGATAGTGTAGAGGGATAGGAAGCACAATGGGTGCTGGGAAAATATCTTCAATTCTTCATTTCCCTCACATTCTGCCAGAGATTTGTAATTAATCTTTCCTCCAACTTTTTATATCATAGAGTCATAGAATAGTGGAATTCAAAGAGGCCAGAGGGCCATCGGATCCAACCCCCTGCTCAGTGCAGGACTCCCAAGTAAAACCATCCTTCTCAGATGGCTTTCCAGTTGTAATGTGAATGCCTCTAGTATGGGAGAGCCCACAACCTCCCTAGGAAATTGGTTCTATCGTTGCACTTCTCTAACAGTCAAGAATGTTCTCCGTCAGCTTCTCTGGCTTCCCATTGAAGTCCGGGCCCAATTCAAGGTGTTGGTGATGACCTATAAAGCCCTAAACGGCTTGGGTCCTGGTTACCTGAAGGAGCGCTTACATCCATATATGCCCGGCCGCCCCTTGAGATCGGCGGGAGAGGCCCTTCTCCAGGAACCCTCCGTGAAAGAAATTAGGAGGGTGGGTACTCGGAGGAGGGCTTTCTCTGCGGTGGCGCCTAAGTTATGGAATATGCTCCCCAGAGAGGTCCGCCTGGCGCCGTCGTTATTTGTTTTTCGGCGCCAGGCGAAGACCTTTTTATTTAAGCGGCATTTTAACTGTTAATATTATTGGATTTTATCTGGCCAGGGCGGCTTATTTTATATTGGGATTTTTGTATTTTTAACCTAATGTTTATATTTTTTAATTTAATATTATAATGATTTTTTAACTTATTGTTGTAAGCCGCCCTGAGGCTTCGGCGAATGGGGCGGCATAAAAATGTTTTAATAAATAAATAAATAAATAAATAAGAAATGGTTCCTGCTGTCTAGCGGGAATCTGGCTTTCTATAACTTGAGCCCATTATTCCATGTCCTGGTACTCTGAGATGATTGAGAAGAGATCCTGGTCTTCCTCTTTGTGACAGCATTTTAAGTACTTGAAGAGTGCTATCACGTCTACTCTCAAGTTTTCTCTTCCTAAGACTAAACATGCCCAGTTCTTTTAACCTCTCCTTGTTTCCAGTCCTTAGATCATCCTTGTTGCCTTCCTCTGAACTCTTTCCAGTTTGTCTGCATCCTTCTTAAACTGTGGTGTCCAGAACTGGAAACAGTACTCCAGATGAGGCCTAACCAGTGCGGAATAAAGGGGAACTAGTACTTCATGGGATTTGGAAGTGATGCTTCTATTATTTCAGCCTAAGATAGCATTTGCCCCCCCCTTTTTTTTTTTTGCTGCCACATCACTTTACTGACTCATATTCAGCTTGTGATCTAAAACAATTCCAAGATCCTTCTCACTTGCAGTGTTGTTGAGCCAAATATTGTCCATCTTTGCATTTGGTTTCTTTTTCCTGGGTGCAGAACTTGGCATTTCTCCCTTCTGCATTTCACTCTTGTTTTCAGTCCAGTGCTCCAACCGGTCAACATCACTTGAATCTGCAAATCTGATCATAGTTCCCTGCATTTCCTCATCCATTGGGCCCAGGACTAAACCCTGTGATACTCCACTTGTTACCGCTCACCAGTTTGGGAAAGTGCCATTGATGAGCACTCTCTGAGTTTGATTCTGTAGCCAGCTGTGGATCCATTTCATAGTTGTTTCATCCAGCCCACTTTTAGCTGGTTTGTTAAAATGACTGGTTTCAGCAAACATATAAATGATTAGTTCCTAAGATGTTAGCTCTAAGAAGCTCTTCACCCAGTGATCTTCATCAGGGACCCGATGGTTATCCACCCCCACAGTGTGATACTTTAAGTAATGGGGGAGGCCCTAAAAATTAGGTGCTCTGTTCTTCAGAAATTCCCCATTTTAAAGGTATATGTCCCATGATAGCCTGGAGGAACAGGACAGGAATTGTTTAGGATCATACTGATTCTCATTTCTTCTTTCTAAAAAGATGGTATAGTAGCAGAGTCTTAGGGAAGTTGAGAAATAATAGTTTATAGTGCTTTATGTCTCAAGTTAATGCTGGGAAAAATAGAAGAAGGGGACAGCAGAGGAGGAGGTGGCTAGATGGAGTCACTGAAGCAGTTGGTGTGAGCTTAAGTGGACTCTGGGGGATGGTGGAGGACAGGAAGGCCTGGAGGAATGTTGTCCATGGGTTCGCGATGAGTCGGACACGACTTCGTGACTAACAACAACAACATCGTCTCAAGTTAATACAGTGGTACCTTGGCTCACGAACTTCACCCAAATTGGTCATGAGCCAAGTCAAATTTCCCCATAAGGTTCAATGTAGATAAGGTTGATCCGTTCTGTATCACAGCTACACAAATTCACAAAAAATTTGAAGCAAAGTGACAAAGAACAACAAAAATCATGGCCATCTCCCCCTCCATCATGACCATGATTGTGCCCATCATCCCTGCACAAGCGCGACCATGATTGCGGCCGTAGATGGGTGCGATCATGGGCCAG